ACTGTTAATCAGCCGTTCTTATCAATTTAAGATTTTCAAATATATTTATGAAGATGATTTAAATTATTTTTATATATTATTAAATAAATAAATATTTTTAATTTTATAAAATTTAAATAAATAAAAAAATAATTATTTAAATGATACATAAAATTATAAAAAAATAATATAAAAATATAAAAATCAAAACACCTCAAAATATACATTACAACCATCCCTAAATGGATCATCTTCTGAAACTTACTCAATAAATAATTATAATAGGCGTATTAAGCATAAAACGTCTTGATTTTTCGGATTTTTAACTTAAATCATTTTTTTTATTTATTATAAAATGACAAAAGTACCTCTATAACTCTAAATAGAATTACGCCATTATCCCTGAAGGAAATTATTTGTGAAGAAAGATCGCTGTATTTTCTCTCGAAATAAACAGAAGAAGAGAAAGGGGGAAAATTCAGAGAGATGGAGAACTGCGAGCTGTGCGGAGGCGCCGCCAGGATGTATTGCGAGCCTGACCAGGCGAGTTTGTGCTGGGACTGTGACCGGAAGGTTCACGGTGCGAACTTTCTGGTGGCGAAGCACACTAGGAGTCTGCTTTGTCATGCCTGTCATCGACCGACGCTGTGGCGGGCCTCCGGTCAGAACCTCGGTCGGGCGGTTTCAGCTTGCGATTCTTGTGTCAATGTTCGGTGCAAGGACGAGGAGAGGCCGGAAGAAAAATTGGGGGAGTATGGAGAGGATGAGAATAGCGGTGATTATGACGATGATGTGGAGGAGGAAGAGGAGGAAGTGGATAGTGATGATGATGAAGAAGGAGGTGAGAAGGATGGAGAGAATCAGGTGGTGCCGTGGTCGAAGGATACTCTTCCGTCGCCGCCTGTGGTGAGCTCGGATTCTTCGAGTGGCGGTGAAGAGGAGGTGATTTCCGGCATCCGAGGAGGCGGTGGCTGCTGTGGATCGAAAAGAATGAGGGAGAATCTTGCTGTCTACTCCGATGTACGGTCACTTTGATTCTTTCTTCACTGTTCTTTCTCTGTTTCTGGTTGCTCTGTGTTCAATCAATGGTCTCTTCCATTTTGTTCCTTAAATCAACTATCAGATCTGGAAAAATCTGAATTTAATAGGTTTTTCTTTTTGATTATTTCAAAAAGAAGTCAAATTTTTTGGAGACATTTCAGTTTCTTCTATACTTCATTTCCTTCGTAACCAAATGGGGTATAATTCTTCTTAAAAATGCAGGATGATATTGACTGCTCCTCTTCTCACATTGGCTCCGGTGCATTGGCAAGTGGGGAAGCAGCTTCCAGGGCATTGAAGAAACAAAGATTAGGTGAATTGAATCGATCAGAAGGAAATGAAGAAACAGAGTCAAAATCTACGGCTGTCATTAGCTCTCTTAAACAACTCCAAGAACAGATGATCATTGACAATGGAGATGCTTCTGCTACTGTACTTGGGATATGTGGATTGAGTAGGGAACAAAGCCGTTGATCACTTTCCCTACTAACTCTTGTTCAATCCAACTTATACAATTTGAGGTAGTACTTTTTATTGGTAGTCCAAGTTGAGATTGTCAATAGATTATTTGATCATGCAAATATAGGGTTATGATTTTCCCCCACATATCCTTTTTCCACATTTCATACTTGTTGGTAATATGTGTGGTTGGGAAAATATGTTGTTCTCTCTAATGGGAATGTTGCTTGTTCTGCCTGTGAATTAGCACTAAAACAATCTTGTGTGATACATTGACAGTTGAGAATAGAGGTGGTTTCTTGATAATGTGTTCTAATTATCTGATTCTTGGGAGCTCTGTCTCTATTGAATATTGTTTTTAACAACTGAAAGATGGGGAAATGGGATTGAAGGTAAAGAACTTGTATCGAGTCTAAGGTTAGTCATGTTTATTTTGTTATCTTAACTAAACTATGATATTATGAATCAATGGAGAATTACTAAAAATATTCGATGGATCAAACTGGGTGTAGCCATCCCTTCTTGACTCTTTAAATGGATATTGCTAGAAGACTACTATATCATTGACTTTTTATTGTGATTCTCTAGCCATGAGATTGGTGGGTGTCTAACTTAAACTACTTGAAGAGGACAGAGTGGATTATCTTTTGAAGTTTCAAAATCTGTGGATGACCGTGTAGCAAGAGGCATATAGCATACCCTATTAGAAGTAAGAATGCGTTGTGTGGTGGACAGAAAACAAAACCCCACACGGTGGTTACCAATGGATGCAATGACATATTGATAGAAAAAGCAATCCATTTGCATCACTCCATAATTTTTAATGTGCGTTTTATTTATTTATTTATTTACTTGGTTATCTCTAGAGGATATTATGGCTTTTTGTTTTTTTGTTTTTTGTTAGACATGGATAAACGTCTTAGGTTTGGTACCGTCTGGATGTTAGTCTTTCATATTTTGTTAGGTAGGAATATGATCTCTAGAAACTTGATCTCAAAAGTCAAAACCACTGCCTTCTTTTGATATCACTGGTATTAATCGAACAATATCCATGGGCACCAAGTCTTATAGGTAAGATGGTTGGTGTATCTAATGTTTTGATTAGTACTAAGATTTAAATCATGGTAATACCGTCTTAACATCCTCTTTCTCCCAACCCTAAATCGTAACCGTTCCAAAAAAAAAAAAAAAAAAACAGCAACAATATCCATGGAGTTTGGTTGGTCATATATGCCTCTTACTTAATTTTTTCTGATATGACAAGGGAGAGGGGATATGTACTCAGAGGTAAGTTCCCGACTAGGCTCGAACATTTAAACCTGGTGGAGGTACACCTCCAAGTCCAAGGGGACCCAGCACTCTAGGTGTGTGCCTATTAATCTTCTCTTTGCATTTTACATTCCTTTTTCTGCTTGTTTCACATCAGAAAGAGCAAGGACAACAAGTTATAATGAAATTAGTTATTGTTTGGTAGAACAGTAGAATTATTCCTCATTTTTATTGCTTTTTGTTTTCCTGTGAAATTGTCATTGGTTAAACGATTGACTACGTTAAGCAATGGAAAATTGCCGAACTTCTACCGGCGTCTCAAGTCTACAACTACTAGTACAGGCAAAGAAGGCCATAGAGTCTGCTTTCATTGATTTATCCTTCCTTCCGACCCTCATGATGGTCACCTTTAGTTGTTTGTCTTTTTCAAGGGAAACAGGAGGAAATTCTTTGAAAAACATTTTGAGTAAATTTTCCAACTTGGGTCACCTTGTTGAGGGAATTTCACTTGCCGGTTTAGAGAAACTACAAGTATATGTTTTCTATGGCGGATAAGAAAAACATATCACCATGGCTCAGTTTTTTCATGACAAAATTCCTAAATGAAAGTGAACTTCTGTCTGCACAAAAGAGTGCAGTCTTAGCTATTCATTCAATACCGTTTCTGATAAAACTCCGGACAACATCCAATCCAGACTGAAAAGAACATTTCTATTCCTAATACCAACAATCAATAATAAGTGAAAATGGCTCAATTTTTTCACAAGCAAACACCATGGCTCATAAAAATAGAAACTACAAGCAAGCTATTGAGAATTATTAATATACCACACTGCAGTATCATCAACGAAAATCAAACACTTGCTCAACCATAGAGTAACATTATCCCTCCTTGGTGAGTTGATACATGACAGAATGTGACATGGAGGTGAAACGGAAATCTACAATCGATTTTAAAAAAAATGCAGTTCATCTCAAATACGATAGCATTTCTACTTTCTAGTCGCATCGGCTAATCCTTGTTTACTTTGGAACCTTCTCTTGGTATCTACAACACAGGAAACAAGCTAACAAATTAGATTTCAATTAAACTTGAGAATGGAAAAACTGGGAAGAGGAAACTTTTAGTAGAAACATAAGTTTCAAAATACAAGGCTAGAATAAGCTGAGAAATGCAAGAGTGGACAGCCAAATGGGTTTTGGGTTGCAGGGGAAATGTAGAGATACATTGAAGTGAGACAAATGTTGCACAAACAGATGAGAAATTAGATAGTTTAAGTTTAATCTAGATGCCTACCATAACAAGATGTGTACCTGTTGCTGAGGGGGGATGAAGCAGCAGCCCCCAACTACCATTAATCATCTACCATGAGGAAAGCAAAAAAATACCAATGTCATACTTTATGAGAGACATTTAAACTTCGAACACAAAAAGAAGACTAATTACTACTCATTAAATCTACTGATCAGATCCTTAAAAATTCAATAAAAGAAAACACAAGACTCACACAGGAGAATACAATGTTAAAACTTATTTTTTGATCAACTACAATGTTAGTCAGCAGCAGCTCAAATGCAGATGAGCAACATTCCATAACAATTGAAGGAATCTCAATAACACATTACACATCCAAAGCACAAAAATAGTTTTTATGATTCCCAAGAAATTTTATTTTCACTTCACCTGAACACATAAAGAACTGCAGCCTAAACCAAATCAAAAATATAATTAGAACCTTATCTACATCACTGTTCTCTTGATAACAAGCTATTTTCTTAAGACTTCAGAAACTATAACCATCAGGGTACAAAAATTCCTGTACTAATTGCTTAATAACTAAAGTTTTTATAATGCCCCTAAATCTCTGGCATTAAGGGCCACAGAAAATTGATATACAAAATATAACATATGCTTAATACTTGTAAACTGTTAACTCTTGGCTGACAGCGTCCACTAATTTAAACGGTTAACTCTCACCCCCAAACTAGACTACCTTTACTCTATGAATAATAAATCATATATCAGCAGTTTCCAGAGGAAAAAAATCAATGCTGATCTTAATCTAAGTACTGCTGAACATTCCCAAGATAACTGATAACATCAAACTCAGTGCTTTGACGGGAGTATGAAAGTGCGGACAAAAGGTCAAACAAATTGATAATACCTGCTTTCTCCAAATGCAATCAGCTCTAATTCAAATTATATAATGATATTCACCCATGAAACCTTCAGGTTGCAAACTGTTTCTAAAAACTCAAATGGAAACTATTATTTCCTAAAATGAAAAGACAACATATTAACTTTTAGATTCCAAACTAGCACATTCTTTCCTTCATCTTTGGAATTGTTAGCAAGATGTCTCACAAAACCAAAAACATCAAATAGGAACAACAACCCAAGTAATGAATCAGCTCTTTCTCCACAAAGACGGAATGGAACCTCCGAATCCCATACCATAAACTTTCTCAAGAATTAAACTAAATTCTAACAAAGCATAAAGCTTTAAATGAAAAGAAACCAAAATTCAACACAATTAAACAATTGAAAAGTCAAAACCCTCAAAAACCCTACCTTTGAGACCCTCTGGCTTCACAGCAACATCTTCCTCCTCTGCCTCCTTGATAGTGACTATGGGCTCTCCTCCGCTACCTTCCTTGTCATCCGGGTACCTGACAACTACAACGGGGCAGACGCAGTGATGAACGCAATAGTCACTAACGCTCCCCAACCGGCCATCACTCCCTTTCTTCTCAGCACCAAAGCCTCTGCTCCCCATGATCACAGCACATAACCCTAGCCTCTCCACCTCCAAGCACAGTCTTTCCCTCATGTCATGATCCTTAACAATATGGATCTTGTAAGGAATCTGAGCTTCTTTCAAGGGTCTAGCGAGATCAGCAACCTTAGATGCAGTAAAGGCGTCGAAATCTTCTTCCAGCTGCTGCTGGGAAGGCTGTTCGGCAGAAGAGGAGTTGGAGTAGTGCTGCGGAAGGGGGCCCCAATCGGCACCGAAAAGGACGGAGGTAGGGGAGACATGGAGGAGTATGACAGCATCCCCAGGACGGATGTAGTTATGGACGGCCCAGCGTACGGCAAAAGCAGACTCATCGGAGAGGTCGACACCCACGCCGATCTTGCGGCAAGCGCCGGCGGTGGGAGTAGCGGTGGAGGAAGGGTGGTGGGGTGGAGAAGGGTGGCGAATCTTGATGGTAGGGAGCTGGGGATCGTCACTGTTTTCCGGTGGATTCATATTTTCTCGGAGATTTCTTTCGTAGTTGCAAATTGGAATGAAGAAAATGTTAAGCTTTCTAGAACAAAATGGTTAGCATCCGACAGAGAGTCTGGTCTTTAAAACGGGGCCGAAATGAGGAATGTGATAAGGGCATGAGGCCCTCAATTTAATTTTTCTTCACGTTTTAGTTTTTAAACTTTGTTAATAGCCATTAGGATCCCTTGGTTACAATAGTTTTCTTACTCTTACCAAACATCAAACTCAATACTTAACAAGAGTTTGGTACAATTAATATTCATTAATTAAAAAATTTTAATTCAAGACTAAAATTAAAGATTTAAATTTTTATTATGTCAAGTAATTAATTCTATAATTATAAAAAAAATTTTAAAAAATAAAAACAAGCATCAAAGTCAATATTAGGAAGTGCACGTTGTCTCATGTGCATTTAATACTTCTTTAGCCCGTTTGCATTTTTTCCAATCCAAGTGGAAGCTAACACGAGCTAATGAATTATATTAATGAATGAATTCCTATGCTCTTAATGAGTCCACATTAACTTTCACACCAAATTTAGAACTTGATGAGACTAAATGAAAAAAAAAGAAAAAAAAAGAAGAAGTTTAGAACTGAACTAAGGTATTAAGGAAGATAAGAACATCCTAACAATTAAAACACAATAATGTTATAAGGTTAAAACTCCTTTTTGGTCCCTGAACTATTGTACTGACCCCCAATTTGGTCCCTGAACTAAAAAAATCTCTGATTTGGTCCCTACTGTTCACCATTTTTACCCCGATTTGGTCCTTCCGTTAAAAATTGTGTTACGTGGCCTGTTACTTAACGGTTATCAGATGACATGTCATATAGTAATCCACATGGAAAGTAATATAATAAAAAAGTGATGATGTGGAAAAAAAATAATATAAAAAATATTATAAAAAATAAAACTTATTCCTTTTTTTCTTTTTTCTTTTTTCTTTTTCCTTTCTCCTTCCCCTTTCCCTTTCTCTTTCTCCTTCCCCTTTCTCTTCCTCCTTCCCCTTGCAACCCAGCAGGCTTGGGTTCCTTCGAACCCACCCGTTGGGTTCGCCTAGGTTTGTCGAACCCAAGGCTGGGTTCGACGAACCTGGTGCTGGGTTCGACGAACCCACCCA